TTTATAACACGCGTAATCTGGAGATTTAAAAAAAAAGAAAAAATATAGCTTAAAAAATTTATCTTAATTAGAATATTATTATAGTTTATAAAGATCTAAGAAATAGAAGAAAAAAGTTTAATAGTATTTTCTAAAAATAAATTAAATAATTATAATTAACTTATAGTTTTAAGACTATTTTATAAATAATAAATATAAAAAAATAAAAATAAAAAATTTTATAAAAATAGTTTATTTTATTTTAAGACATGCTTTTATATAAATATAATTTATTATATTTTAAATACAGCTAAAGCATCTGCCGTATCTTATTTATTTTAAAAAACTTAATAAATAGAGAATTATATTTTAAGCCTAGAGTTATAAAAATTAGATTAATTAGATTAATCAGATTATTCTTATATTAATAGAAAAGATCTGAAAAAGGCTTTTATAAAACTTTTTAAAAAATATAGTACCTAGTATTTAATTAGATAATTATTAAAAAGTATAATTACCGAGAAAAACTATATAAATAGTATTATATAAATATTATAATATAGTTCTAATTCTTTCAACTTATTTAATCTATTTAATCTATTTAACCTGTTTAATCTACTTAATCTACTTAATCTGTTTGATTTATTTAATTTACTTAATCTGCTTAATCTGTTTGATTTATTTAACCTATTTAATTTATTTAATTTATTTAATCTATTTAATTTATTTAATTTATTTAATCTATTTAATCTACTGAACCTGCTGTCTTTAATTATTTATTATATAATTCTAAACCTGCTTAAAAATCTTTCTGTTTTTAAATCTTTTTATAGCTTTTTAAGCTATATCTTGTCTATAAATCTAAAAATAGTTTAACTAAATAGCTAGTTAAAAATAAAAAAATAAATTATTAAAATATTATTAGTTTATTATTTATTTTATTATTCTGTTTACTGTTATCTATATCTATTAGTTTATAACTTAATAGCAGGTTTTTTTTTAAGTTTAATTTATAATATAAATAATTCAGCTTTTTTAAATAGAAAATAAGAATATAATAGACTATTTAAGCTGGAGTAAAAAAAAGAATAATAAAATAAAAATAATATATTTATTTTTAATAATCTAACTAATAATAAATATACAGTTTTTTAATTATTATATAATATAATTAAAATATACAGTCTAAACCGAGCTGTAATTATATATATTTATATATATTTTTTATTATAAAAATAATAGTTTTATAAAAAATTAAATTTTATTAATACTACTAGGATTTTCTGATTAATCTTTTTAAATAAAAATAAAAAAGATACTAATACTTTTTTTAATTATTGTTTTCTAATTTAAAAAGCTTATTTTTATATATTTTTAAATAATAGTTAAAATAATTAGATTAATAACCGCTTAATCTAAGTATATTTTAATTATACTAGAATCTAAACAGATATAGTAGAAGAATCTTAATATTAAGAATAATTAAAATAGATTATTATCTATTTTTTAATTATACTATAATCAGATATAAAAATTTTCTTAATCTGGCTATAACCTGGCGGTCAGGTATAAAAATTCTAATTAACCTGACCTGACCTGGCTGTTAGCCACTCTACTTATATATATAAATAAAATATTTAGTAATATTAATAATAGAAAGAAAAACAGTACAGCAGCCGGAGTCAGATAGAAATTTATATAATTTTATTTTATTAGTTTTTATTATTTTTTTAATATAATTTTATATAAAATTAAAAAAAAAATAAAAAGTTAAGCTTATCTATAGACTTATTATTTTTAAATATATATACAGCTATTTTAGTAGTAGTAATAGTAATAGTAGTAGTAGTAGTTATTATAAAAAAAAAAAAAAAAAAAAGAAATTATAATATTACTAAAAATTATAATATTAGATAAGAACTTACTATACAAGTAAGATATTACTATATAAAAAAAATTAATTATACTATTAAAAGTATATATATTTATAAATTAAAAAAAACTTTATATTCTATAAACCGGTTTTTATTTTTTATTTTCAGTATATATTTCCACCTTATATAATAAAATAGTAAGAAAAAGACTAAAAGTAAATATTTAAATATACTACTTTTTTAAGATTTCTTCAACTGCCTAGATTTAGAATCCTAAGATTTTTTAGTTTTTTATTATATAAAAAGATCCTTCGACGCCTTTTTTTTAGTTTTTAAAAATATAAATAGTTTTATTTTAATTTTAATTTTTTTTTAATAATAGGCATCTCCATACGGCACTTAATAATAAATAGAATCTAATAGACTTAATTTAATACTATATAAAACTAAGTCTTTAAAAAATTACTAGTTTTCTGTATAATATTAATCTTTAAACTAAAAAAATAGGCTTTTTTTTAGTAGGCTTGTTGCTAGTCAAAATTTATTATTATCTTATTATATATACTGTCGGTTCTGATATAAATAAAATAAAAGATTTTTAAAAATTAAATTATCTATAGAAAGTATTATATGGTTAAAAATACAGATTTAGATTTATTCTAAAAAAATATATACTATTAGTATTATATAAAACTTAAAATAAATTAATAAATCTAAATATTATAACTTAGTTAAAGATATATTACCAGTTTCTAGATCAGAATCTTTATAAAGTTAAAAATAGAAACTAATAATAATTTAAAAAAATATTTTATACTGGTTTTTTTATTACAGAAAAATAAAATAATAAATATTCTCGCCTCTTATATAGATAAAAGATTAAAAGAAACTAAAATTTAAAATATTTATTAATAGTATTTTCTTAAAAGAATCTACTGTTAGGTTAATAAAACTATATCTTTTAAAATAAAGATTTTAAATATAGTAAGTAGAATATTATATAAGAAAATTTAAATAAACTCTGCCGGTAGCTGAGCAAAACTTTATTTAAAAAAATTAAAAAAATATTTTTTAAATATACTTATTCTCGTATAAAAAAACAAGTAGATAAAAATAATAAATACTTAAATTATAATATAGTATAGTAAATAAAATATATAATACTAAACAGAAACCTTTAGTTAGTTATTTCTATTTTTATTTATTCTACTAATTAAAAATATTAATAGATTATACGGATAGTTTTAAATTAGAAATAATATATAATTAAATATATATTAAGATCTGTTTACGTAGCTAAAAATAGACTATATAAAAAAAAGCTTTTTTTTTATAAAAAAAAAACTATTAGTAGCTTTTTAGAGTTAAATCTAATTTTTTAAAATTATATATAATATTATTATAAAGTCTCTGCAGGCAAATATTTATTAATATTTTAATTTTATATATATTATAAGTTTTATTACAATATTTTTTTATATACAGTAAGACTATACTTTATAATATTTTATAAATAATAGTAGTTTATAAATAGCTTATTATTAATTATTTAAGATTATTTTAATTGCTTTCAAATAGAATATTTATTTTAATCTATTTATATAAAGATATCTGCTTGTAAAAAGTAGATATATATATAGTATACAGAGCTATTTAATCTAATTTAGAAAAAAAAAAAACTAGTATTCTAAAGAGTTATAAAATAATTCTAATATTAATTAATATAATTATTTTTAGATAGATCTTGCTGTATAAACTTTTTATTAAATAAGTAGAACTTTATTTAATTATATTTACTAAGATTTAATTTTCTAATTAGCAGTACTAGTTCTATAGATATAATATTCTTCTAATATAATTTACAACTTATATATCTGGCGGAGTTTATAATAGACTTTATTAAATATAACAGTTTTTATTTTATAGTCTAATTAAATCTTATTATATATACTTTTACGCAGTTATACAGTATTAAAATATTAGTAAAAAATATTAATTACTATATATACTATAATACTAGTATATATTTAGATAATATAATAAAAGTAAGTATTAATTATAGTATAAATCTTAATAATATATAGCTGCAGCTTTATATAACTATTAATTAATTAGAAAAAATCAGAATTAGAAATAATATACAAATTTTATTATTACTAAAAATTATATTTTCTTTATTCTATAGCAGTAGAAATAATTATATAATAAATATTGAATAACCAGTTACTAAACTCTAAATAATTAGTAATAGCTTTTAGAAATATATATAAATATAGACTATAGTATAACTAGATTCTGGCTGTATATATAAAAATAAAAAAGCTATTAGCCGTATTTTTAAATAGTTTTTTTATTGAATTTTTTAAAAAGTATTTTAGTAGTTTTATTTATCTAAAGTTATTATTCTAATAGATTATCCGTCCGGTATATAAGTTCTAGTATTATATAAGTTTTTTTAAAAATTCTTTTTAAAATAGAATAATTCTTTTTTTAAAATACTAGATAAAATTCTAACTTAGAGAAATTTTACTAAAAAAATAACTCTTTAATTTTTCTATATAGAACTGGATTAGTAGTAGCTGTATAGTCTTATTTTTAAATACTTTAGATACTTAATCGACTTTTAATTATATGTTTTACGATCTAAATAAAGTGCCTTTTCTAAAGAATAGAAGTAATACTTGTAGCAGACTTATTCTGTTAATAAAAAAAAATAATTTCAGCTTTAAAAGGCTCAAGATTAATATATAAAGATATAGCTAATAAAATAAAAATAAATATACATATACAGAGAGAAGAGTGCTTTATATTATTCTTAAAAAATAAGCAGTAAGATCTGCGGTTAAAGGATTTAGCAAAAAAAAAACTTATTTGCCCGATGGCGGCAATCGTCCGCCGTACACCTCAGATCACTCACCGGATTCTGCGCCCAATATGATCTGCGAAAGGTCAACGGCTGATCTCGAGAATGTCGCGCACCTGGTAAGTCTATGATCAGAACTACTGTAGAGTCGGCTCCACCATATTGAAAAGTCCTTCACATCCCATCCTGCAATGGGTGCCCTGCCAGGTCAGACAAGACACTCATCACCCACGGCAAACCCAATGCCCTCTCTTTCCCACCAGACTCTTTCCTAGACCGCGACCATGAATCTCAGTCTGATCATTTTCATGCTCTCCGCGCTGGCCTCCCTGGCGCTCGCCAGGCCAATCGTCAATGACACACCAGGGGTCCGCCATGCCTCGAGCGAGGTCCATCACGGCCGAGGAGGCTCAAACAGTGGGTTACCCATTGTAATATTCTTCTGCCGGAGAATCTGCAATCTAGCCATGGGCTGACCTAACCGTCCTCATCGCGATAGCTCTCCAGCCTCCAGACTATCAGTTTCAACCCGACAGGGGTGTTCACCTGGGTGAAGTCATCGACCCACGGTGAGGGGCTGGGAGTAATGGGCTTGTAGCTGGGTTGAGTGGGAACGTATCGGGGCCTACTGCGTCACCAGAAAGACAAGCAGGCGGACAGTCAAGCGGAGATTCTGTGGGGGCGGGAGGATTGGGTATCCCTTGGTAGGGGTCAAGAAGGAAACAGGGGCAATTGCCCAGAGTGAATCGTCGACTCGAGACATGTCGACAGTATGACTGGACGTTTCGTGTCGCCCGTGTGAGATATGGTCGGTATGAACGATAGCACTCGCAAAGGTGCCAGTGTCCATCACTGCTTGGAACTGCTTTGCATCGTGATATTTCTTTGTTTCTTTGCGCTTCTGGTCTTTTCACACCACTCTTACTGGATGCGAGTCTTCATTGTACGTTTATCAAAGACAAGCGACGGTGTGGGAGACTTAACGATGTAGTCTGCGATAGCATTATTCGGCCGGCGGGGAAAATCTGTGCGATATCGTTATCTCAGGCTCTCTCTGGCGGTTGCAGTATGTTATCATTGCTTTGATCCTAGATATTATTTTTCAGCGATGGCGATTTGTGTTGTCGCATTAGCCTCTTGCCCGCCGGCAGCATGCGGCGCGAGGGATGTGTACGGTACATCTACTTTCCGCAGGTTGACGAGTCGGTACCACGAAGCAAATTTGCTAAGCTAATGTGTTGAGCAGACTTTCTGGCCGTTGATTTGGGAGAGGTGGCTTTCGTTTTGGATATAAGGCATGTGTTGTAATACTCGACTGGTGTGTGAAAGGGACAGGAGGGAGAAGAGTGGAAAGTAAGTGTGGGGGAACCACTTTCTACAAGAACACCTGCAGGAATCTTCTCCCCAAATAGCGTGGCCACACGTGGCAGAACACAAGACGATCTACAGCCAACACACCAGAATGAAGTATATTTGTTGACATGTATTTATGGGGTACAGTACGGCTTAACCACGCGCTGCGAGGAACTCGAGTGGCTAACACCGCTGGGACCCGACGACCCGGAATGCTGTTGACAGGTGGTCCGAAGACCTGGCAGCCTACTACACACATACTTAAAAGGACCACAGTACAATTGTCATCAGCAGAGATAAACGCGCATGTCAAGCAAAGACAAATACGATAACATCATCATCATCATGATCTTGGTTACTCTGACAAAACCGGAAGGCGCACCGTAGGACAGGTTTCAGAAAGACACAACCCAACCTTCCCAGCAGCAAATCCCGTCCTCCACATTGCGTTATGCAATTGATAGCGTGACCACAAACCGATGGCGAAAACTACAGTATCCATTATCTAGACGTTAAGCATACGACGCTCGTCCACGGGAACACAGCTGTGCTTGTGGTCGCGCCAGTGACCGCGTTGACAGTCCTACCCAAGAGACATCAGGCACATATCTCATGTCGTTGCACCGGAGATCCATCAACTAACCTTGTCACAATACCAAGCCTCCTTGCACCTGCCGCACCTGCGAAGCGCGTGTCCGACATCCGACTCGATCTGTCCACAGTGGAAGCAGCTGCACAAGCATCATCAGTATCCATAACACATACGCCAGCAACAGAAAAGAATAACTAACCTCGTGACTTCAAAACTCCGTGGCACCCCAGCCTGGTAATGGTACAGAGCAGCCAAGAACTGCGCGCGACCCGGCGAGCGAAACGCCTCGTCAGCCAAGGGCAACACGTAGCGCACGTTGCAGGTCACCTGTGATACCAGTGCACGGAGATGCTCCAGGGAGGCAGGACTGATCTGGCCGCCGGCCCGCATGATCAAAGCCCCCATGAGGATGGTTGTGTACTTGGGGGGGTCGAAGAGCTCCTTGTCTCCCTCCTTGGCGCGACACGCAGCGAGCATCTGTTCCCCGAGGCCGTCGGTGTCGAGCTTCTGGCGGATATAGGGGAGGACCTCATGTCGCAGCATGTGTGCTCTGGCGGCGGGCGTGGTGGCGGTCTCGGGGCCCAGTATTGTGTCCTCCAGATTCCAGAACCATTTCTTGTCGGCCTGACCCGTGTAGTGGAGCATATCGCTGAGGAGGTCCAGGTCCCGACTGCCTTCGAAGAGGCCTGACGAAGGGGGGGGGAAAGAGGTTAGCATCGTTGATCTGAGGATAGAAAATCACAAAAGTAAGAGAGTGAGGTTGGCACTTACGCCATCCCCAGCGACCCATGATGATGGCGGTCGGTAGGTCTGACAGTAGGGGAAGATTACACCGTAGGTTGTAGGAGATAGTTGAAAGATGTCGATTAAAAGGAACACGAAGGACGATGATGAACACTTCGGGTGGATGGGAAAGGCAAGTGAGGTTGAGGAGGAAAGAAGGGAAGCAGAGCGAGAAAGTGAGAGGAAGAAGTGAGATCAAAGGTAGCAATACAAACAAAGGTGTTTGCATCGGTGGCTGCTTCTGGATGCACAGCCCAGGCGTCAAGTCTCAGTCAATGCGAGCTAGACATCAACAATCGAGTATGGCAGTCAGAAGAGGAAACTGGATGAAAAGTCACTCGATCAATGCCTGACAATCATCAAATGATACTCACTTCTAATAGGCGAAAGCACACCTCGCTCATACCTGAGAAGATCCGTGCTGATGCCCTTCTGAAGAACCCAGCATGTGGAATCCGATACAGGACCTTTTAGTCATACATTCACTTTTTTCTGGACAGAGTAGTTTTCAGCTTCGAGGATATACATCTACTTGAAGCACTCTGCGAGGAATTCGATCTTGAACGCTCTGAGCTAGACTGGATACTTTATTATGGAACACTATATATGGTACAGTACAATCCCATGACCTATCTTTTCAAAGTTAAAAGCGATAGGTCTATGGTGTATACAGGTGATGTATTACCCAGATATCGCTGTACATTAGTATCAGTGTAGAGAATGCACGGAGACATATGGTGTCAAATCGCCGCCAACGTGGTGACATCCCTTAGGCAGAGATGAAACGGCCGGGCTGGCTCAGCCACTTGTCCATGAAGTTGAAAGCAGTCTTGACAGTGTCACCGTACTGTCCAGGGTAGCTCTCGCAGGCGGTACAGGTGTCAATGGTGTGCTGGGCTCCCTCGGTAAAGGCAATCGACTTGTCCTTGGTGGTAGCAGCCAGGTAGATCTTCTCGGCGTTGAGGTACTCGTAGTGACCCGTGTTACCCATGGTCAGCAGGGGCTTAGAGATGCCAGGAACACTGCCAATGGGAGCAGTCTGCGACGAGGTCCAGTCGACACCAGTGATGTTATCCGCGGTGACCCGGAAGTTATCACCATCGACGCGGATAGCAAAGGTCGACAGGAAGCGGGTGATGGTGGTCTTGAGCGCTCCATCGTAGAAGGAGTCGACCATGCTGGGAATGCCGGCCGACGCGACGCGAACAGATGGGACAACCTGGGTGGTGTTACTGCCGTCCTTGTGCAGGAGAGGCCACTTGTAGATAGTGTGGGCCAGATAGCGCACGTCCTGGGTGATGAGCTTGTTGTTGAAGCCGAGGTAGTTGGCGTCGGGGATGACCAATCCTTCGTCATCACTGTAGTCTCCGTTACCGGCGGCAATGAGTTCGTTGCGCTCGGTCGCAGAGGCCAGAATGCGGTTCCACCGGGCGGCAACGCCAGCCAAGAACTCCCGCACAAACGTGGTGGTGTAGTTGGCCCCGTTCTCGGTCCAGCCGTTGGCCGCGCTGTACAAGTTCAGCTCCGAGTTGATATCGGCGCCGGTGGTCTCGTTGGTGATGGCAGGGTTGAGAGACAGCAGAGTCATGGTGGACAGGCCAAAGTTGGCATCGATGAGCAGCACTCCGTCGGCAGCGGGCAAGCCATCCATCGCGCTGGAGCAGGGGTACAGCTTTTCAGTGCCGTTGCAGGCAGAGGCTCCGTTCTCGGCCACGTTCTGATACGCAGCCATCATCGCACCGCCGCCGGAGTGACCCCAGATGATCACCTGGTCAATGTCGGTCAAGTTGCGCAGGAATTGCACTCCTGTTCCGACGTCCGTCATCATCGTCTCGAAGTCGAGGTCATTCATGAGACCAGTTTTGCTCTGGGCGTTGTTCAAGCAGAGAGTGGTGTAACCACGGACGGGCAGCTCACTGCAGGGGTAGAAGGTGGTGTAGTCCTGCTCGGCATGCATGACGAGGATGCCGATCCGAGCCTTGGCTGGATCAGCACTGGAAAGGGGACGAAAGAGTCCGCCAATGACACCTGTGCCGAAGGTCACCAAGGAGGGAATGGGAAGGCTAAAATTGCCCAGCGAGGTATGCGTGAACTGGGTGGGCCATTGGCTGGAAGCACTGGAGCTGGCGCTGGCAGAGAGGCAGAGACCGGCCAGAGCCGCGAGGGCGGACTGCTTGAATGAGGGCATCGATCTTTGAGGCAATAGAAGTGAAGATGCAGGCAAGAAAGATGTTCGCAGACCGGGATATGCTTGTCAGTCTGTCGTACCTGCAGGAATACCCTTGTCCATACTTATAACCATCTATAAGGTCGGCTGGGGTTCCTTGCGAAGATTAAGTCCGAGGTTCCTCTCGGCATGGACTGGGAAATGTGGTAATGGCTGTACTCTAACCTGGATAAGGTAGGGTCTATTGCAGCATCCGGTCTCTCTGCCGCGCCTGGTTTGCGGAAGCTTTCCTGCATTGAGTTGTGAGGACTACGATCAGTGGGCCCATGCGCGTAAATAATCTTCCCGTCCACTCAATCCCCGGACTTGAGTATGGGAGCTGCGTCATCTAACGGCGGTATCGGAGTAAGTTGCCTTGTGCAGACCCGGCACATGCTGATCGCTCGGGCCGTGCCATAACTTGGTCAGTTCGGCAGGCTGGTCGTACGAGTACATGTGGACCACTTGAAACAGTACTCCGTACACAGTACTACTAAGTATGTAGAAAGATCGACTAGCGATAAATGGGTTTCCCGGAGATTAATAACACCAAACAAAGCAACAGTTCAGACAATTCGAATCACCAGCAGACATCAGGCAACATCGATTATGCGGCACCCGTTAAAACCGGGCAATTGGAACTCCACCAACCCAAGTTTCAGAACTGCTTCCCGCTTCCAGCAATGACTGGCTCAAACTTTTAACCTTAAGAATCGTTCCTACTCAGCACCTCGATTACCACGCAATGCTCACCTGATACAACACAAAAACATAACCTACCAGCAGCCTTTGCAAAAAGACACATCGTGAATCGACATAGAAGGAACGCGATCGGTTGGTAATCCAGAACTCTCGGCAACCATCCACAGAAAGCATTGGTAGTGGTAGCAAAGAAGATGAAGAAGCGTCGGTAAATCCTTAACATCAAAGCCCGCATGAGAAGCGAAGACTTTCACGAGATCCGTCCGACAGCGGTCTGCTGGAGGGATGATGGAGAGCCATACGCTTAAGATATCAAAGAAGCAACATTCACCGGTAGGGGAATGTCTCTATTTCCTTCTCTTCACTGAGAAGATACAGCACATATCTATTTCTGCTTATCTAGAGCGCGTTGGTGAGAAGGCGGGTTGAGAAGCCTAGAGACGGGGCTCGGCGAGAAAGGCAAAGCAGGGAAATTGAGAGTTAGTCATAGGCTCAGTTGTTACCCCGTGCCCTGTGGCACTTGAAAAACAAAAACAAACATAAGAGGCAAGAAAGCAAATCTTGGACATTCCAAAGGGCATAATTCTTCAAGTTAGAAAGATGAGTCGACAGGTTGGCTAATTTGCTGTTTCTGACAAGTCGACTATATATTTCCTCCCAAAGCAGTGACCGAGACAAAAGCCCCGCCTCGGTACGTCACGTGAGTGACTGATAGCACCCACTGCATGGCCATATAAACACCGAGTCATTCTCAGTCTGCGACCAATCTTCCGAGGTAGTTAGACCATCGGTGACCATTTATGCTTCCTCGTCTCTCTTCAGTGCTCAACCAAAACCTGCAGTCAGAGCTGTTGGGCCTTGCTGCTGCATCGAGTCATGCCTCGGCAACCAAACGGTGCAGATCATCATAGATCCCTGTCTAGTCACTTCTAGTGACTGCTGCCTTGCCTGATTTAGCGATGGCTTCTTTTCTCCTCTCTCCAAGATCTTACGCAACGTCTCTTCTTCTACCACCTCCTCTATTCTAAAGCTATTTAATCCCCCGCATACCGTCCGCACTCTGTGATGAACCAGGGAAGAACCCGCCGCGCCCGACTGAAACGGTCGAAAACTGGCTGTCGCACGTGCCGGTACGCAGGTAGCCAGTAGTCGACTAGGCAGCGAATAGGCTGACACTTATATAACGGCAGGGCCCGCCACGTGAAGTGCGACGAAACCCCAGGCAAGTGCCAAAATTGCACCTCGACTGGACGGCAATGCGACGGCTATGATGCCCATCGGCTGCTTCTCCCCACGACACGAACGCGCCATTCCGACCGACTGCCACTGTCGCCTCCGGTCGCAGTCACCGTCCCGTGGGCCAGTACCTCCGATGAGCGCCGCTGCTTTGGCTTTGTGCAAGCCCGCACGATTCCCGACGTGCTCAGCTACTTCGACTCCCTGATATGGGAGCAATTTGTGCTGCAGATGGTGCGCCGGGAACCCGCAGTCTGGCATGCTGTCGTTGCCTTAGGCGCGGTGCACCAGCACATCGAGCCTGGGTTGATGGGCGGGTCCACCGTCTGGGAATTGATGGCGGTCGCACAGTCCACGAGGTCCTTCGCCTGCCTGCGTCGACGGAATCCACGGGACCCACAGATGCGGGAGGTGACATTACTCTGCTGTCTGTTGTTCACGATCATGGACGTGGTACGGCAGGAGTTTGGGACTGCCGTGCAGCATATCCGTGCTGGCCTGCGCATCCTGGATGAAGATCCGCGCTCATTCAGCAGTGCCGGTCAACCGCTTCATCTCTTTTGGCTGCATGCCTTCCGACATCTGGATACCCAGATTGGCAGTGATCGCTTGTTCATGGGTGAGGGCAGTGACGCTAGCAGCAGCACAGAAGACGCGTCTCGAGGATCGAAGGTGGCGGTCCAACCGGCAGTAGACCCTACATGGCCGTCATGGTCCTCGCATTCCAAAGGCCCACACACCGTTTCTTCCGCCCGCCACATGCTGGAGCCCCTCTACAACCGCTTTTTCAAGTTCATCCGGCAGTGCTGGCGGATGTCCCCCGCGGAACTCCAGTCTGCTGCCGCCGCGCCTGTCTTGGCGGAGCAAGCCAGTCTCACGGCGCAATACCACCGCGCCCGGCATTTTTGGCGCGCCTTCCGCATGGAGCAAGACAACAGTAGGCTCAGCCCGAGGGATCAGCGTGGGGCTGAGGTGCTCGAGATCTGGCTGACGGCCGTCGGTCTCGGCTTGCAGACGGGGCCCCTCCACGGAGACCTAGCGGCGCTGCAGCGGTTCACACCGCAGTACCGCGATCTGCTCCATCGGAGCCAATGCTTTCTTGCCCGCTTTCCACAGCGACCGACGTTGCTGGTCGACCTGGGCGTGCTGCCGACGATCTTCTTTGTGGGCGATGGCTGCCAGGACCTTTCCGTCCGGTGGGAGGCCCTTCAGGCGCATTACGCCTGGCCCCACCAGGAAGGCCCGTTCAGCGCGCCGCTGATGGCCGCCCGGCTGGAACATTTGATTCGCGCCGAACTGAGGGTTCGAGTTCGGGCCGACCTAGTGGCGTCGCTGGGACTGGCCTCGCATCAGCCGGTGAAAAGCTGCTTGGAAGAGGTGGAAGAGCTGGTGGAAACAGAAACCGATCGGATATTAAAGCACATGCGGTCGGTCAGCTCCTATGACAATGAAGAAGACCGGGAGAGATCAGCGCACCTGTTGTCCGCACTAGATCAAATGCATGACCACTGGGGGTCAGTAGCGAGAATGAAAAGGATTGAGGGGTCTAGCACCCTGTGACTGCAGTTTACTGGTGTACTATCTCTCGCGCCTGATTTGCTGATTTGCTGATTTGACTCGCGGACTTTGTTGCCGGGGCCCACTTCCTGAGATCTGGAGAATCGGTGACAATCCCAACGGCGGGCCGGGCCTCGGTGTTCCTTCGACCTTCCAGATCCCCAATTGTTCCATCCATGATCCCACTGAGTTGGCTGGATGTGACGAACCGTACGGGTGTGGTATTGAACACTTCAAAGTTATTGTTGAAGTTCTTGACACTGCCGAGGCCGTGGTCTTCCGACCGAGCCTTGAAGTACATACGTTTTGTCAAGCCCAGGTATCATGTACTGTACATACCGTATCCCTTCATCAATAGGCAGCAGAAATGTGGCTTTGTCACGTTTTAGAACTCTTGCTTGGCAAAGATAATACGGAGTACTCCGTACAGCTGAATCGTTTCCAATGGTTTGTGTCTCGGCTAATCTTGCCCGCCCTTCCGTGAACTGGAGTGAACTCGTAACTTGATCCCACGCTATTTCTCAGCTTCTCGCAACGGCGCAACGCCACATCAATCGACCATTGGAGCAACCCAAGTCCGCCTTGCTCGAACAGGCGAATCTCGGCAGCCGCAAGCAGCAGCCGAGCTGTGATGGCGCAGCTGAACCCTAAGCCACCTGATGTGGTAGCTTATCATCTACAACGCTTGCAGCGCTTTTGCCCCACCAAACACGGAGTCGCCGGGACTATACGACTATATTTACATTCGTCCCCTCCCCCTCCCACAATAGGTGTGTCTCTGCCACAAGATAATTGAGAAACCCAACATACACGAGGGGTCTCATTCACCATGAACGTCTTTGGCACCTACACGGACTCCGCCGCCACGCCACTCCTGGGAGGGGAGTGCGGCAAACGGCTCATCCCGCATGTCATCGACGCGACGGCCAGCGCAACTCCCGATGCCGAGTGTCTGTCCGTTCCTCGCAGCAACGGCAATCCCCAGGCGGGATGGAAACGCGTCAGCTGGGCGCAGGTCGCCAACGCCGTCAACTACGTAGCGCACATGCTCACCAAGGAGGGTGGCACTCCGACCCCCGGGACGTTTCCCACCGTCGCCTACATCGGGCTGGAGGACCCGCGGTATCCGATCTTCGCAACCGGCGCCGTCAAAGCCGGCTACCAGGCACTCTTCATCTCGCCGCGGAATTCGGTCGAAGCACAGCTGAATCTCTTCGAGAAAACCGACTGCAACCTGCTCTACCATGAAGCACAAA